CGGGGCGCTGTTCTGACCCCGGTGAGGGCGGACTGGTGGGGGTGGCGGGAGCCTGGACCCCCCGGGAGAGGCTGGGGGTGGGGGCCCTGTTCTGAGGCCCCCCCAACACCCAGCGGCGCACCGGAGCCTCCCGGGCCCGAGCGATGAAGCAGGGAGAGCTTTTCAAGGGTCTTTGGAAGTGTCTTTGAGGCCTGGGGGAGACGGAGTGGCGAAGGGTTCCAAGACGGGAAAACACACACTAAGATCGGGTAACTGCTGAGAACGCCGAGGCCATCGTGCATGGAATGAGTTGCCGTAAATCTCAGACGCAAAATTACAACAGATTTTTATTTTACACGTGATGTATCCCAATATTTGCAGCCACGTGCATTGGGGCCCCAGACCGCCAGCAAAAACCAACGGTCTCCCAGGGCCTCGCCTGTCCCAGGTGGGCCCCGGGGATTCCAGGGGAGACAGCAGAATACGGAAATCAAAAGCTCCCGGGCTGGCGGGTTAGCGCGGTTGGTTAGGGCACAGCCTTGTAACACCAAGGTCGAGCCTTCGGATCCCCATACCGCCAGCTGCCAAAAACATAATAAAATAAAAGACTCCGGTCTGGAACCACTTCCCGGCTTTGTGACTGTGACACAGTCACTACAGTCACCTCCTTCTCTAAGCCTCATTTCTCTCATCTAGAAAATGAGAATAGACAGGCCGGTTAGCTCACTTGGGAGAGCCTGGTGCTGATAACACCAGAGTCAAAAGCTCGGATTCCCCTACCCGACAGCCGCCGAAATTTAAATTTCAATTTAAAAAATTTAAAAAGGAAAGAAAATGAGAATAAGGCCAGGTCCTACCTAGCGGAGCAGGTGCCAGTTCCGGCCCGAACCGCTTTGTTCTGCCTCTGGCGCCCCCTAGCGGCGGGATGCGGTACGCGCCTCCGGGGAACGAGGCTTACTATACACACGTCCGCGTAGAGGGTTTCCTAGGAAGACACGCGTGTCTATGGAAACCAGCAGGCCTGACTGCGGTGGCGGGAGTCCGACCGGAGGCAGGAAGGAGGCCGAGGAACTGGGGGACTAGAGGGACCTGGAGACTGGACAAGCGCCTCATTTCATGCCCACTCCACTTCCAATCTCCAGGTGGGGGAATTGAAGCTCCGCTGCTTCAGATTCCAGCCTCAGCTTTCCCTCTCCGGACCTCGTAGACGTATCTGTGAAATGAGTGCATTGGTCCCCGTGTGATAGTCTCTTAAATTCTTTGTACCTAATCCGAGGTCGCCAGTTCACTGGCAGCTTTAAAAGAAAGAACTTCTATTTTCATTTATTGATTGATCGGTGTCTGGCCAGTACAGGGATCCAAACTCTTGACCTTGGTGTTACAAGGCTGTGCCCTAACCAACTGAGCTAACCTGCCAGCCCTGGAAGAACTTTTAAAACGTTCTTCTGGAACAAATCATAGGACATGCAACCCGTCAACATCATGACCATTATTCTGGCCGGCATGCAGTGGCCAGCCTTCCCCATCCGGTCAGCAAGGCTGGGGGAGTCCTGTCCCTGTGGGGCTGTATGATGTGGGCAGGTCGCTGGCACTCTGGAAGCCTCATCCTCCTCATCAGTAGGTGGTCCACACCCCCCCTCCCATTTCCACCTGCACCTGTCAGTGCTGTAAGTGACAAAGGGATGACTTGGCAAAAGGACAAGGAGAATGCAGTTGCCCTCAGAGTGGGGCCCACTTGTAGAGTCAACTTTACAAACTGAGGCCAGACTCCCCCAACTAGAGAGTCACCCCACACACAAAGGGCTGAGCCAGGCCCTTGTATTTGTGTCCCCCCACCCCCCAACAAATAATGTCAAAATCTAAGACAGCAGCATAATGACCGCTGAGCATGTATGGAATTGTCCCTTCACTTGCTGGTTTAGTGTACGGTTCCACCTCTCCCACCCGGAAGGGCAGGCTGGGCCTGTCTTGGTCATCACTAGGTTCCCAGAGCCGGGCACATGGGTGGGCCCCATCAATGCTTGTCAAATGAATAGAAGCAAGTATCTTACATCTCCGTATCCCCAACACCCGGAACAGAGCTGGGGCTCTGATCCAAGTGAGTTGGGGAGCCCTTCATTCGGGGACTTTTCCTTACCTGCAAAACATGGAAAATTCACCTGAACTTTGATGATGATGGAAGAGGCTGGGTATGTTGGGCTGAGGCCTTGTGAATGAACGAGTGAACGAACAGTTTCCTGTTGCAGATGAGGAGGCTCAGAGAGGTTACAGGACTTCCCCAAGGTGACACAGCAAAGGGGGAGGCCACCTGGAGAGGAAAGTCACCCCATACTCTCCTCCAGAGCCATTTTACTTATAAGGCACTACGCCTATAAGGCACTATGCTGAGGGCTCAGGGCCCACCAACTCTTCCAGGGGACCCCAAAAATTTGAAATCTGAAAAAAATAATTGACTCCAAAAACTCAGAGATCTGAAAATTTGAAACCAGTGGAATCTATAAGGTGTTTTTGAAGTCATATAGAGCGGTCAGTGGGAGCTGGGTTCGAATCCCACTCTGCCCTTACTAGTTGTGTGACCTGGGGAGTCACTGCCCTCCTCTGTACCTCAGTTTTCTCATCTGTGAAGTCTCAGGGCTGTTGCAAGTTCTGATTGCATTAACACATGGCCAACTCACAGGCGGCAACGTGGACCTCATTCCCCTGATTATTTTGGATCTAGCAGAAATGTGCTACCTTTGACACTATTTGCAGGTTTGACTTTTTACACTTTGGGTTTTGTTTTCTTTATTTTTGATACTCTGGAAGAATTCCAGAGCAGGAGTACAACATGATACATTCATTCCTGTGAGCAGCAAGCAGTTATTGAGGGCCTACTGTGTGCTGAGCACAGTCCCAGACAGATAACTTCCTCCAGCAGAGAGCTGCAGACTTCAGGAAACCACAGGAGCTGAGCTGTAGAAGGAGCAAAGTGCTTCAGGAAAATGGTGAAAAGACAACACACAGAACGAGAGAAAAATTTTCTGCTCTCCCCTCCCTTCCTTCATCCCTCCCTTCCTCCTATGTTTGTTGAAAATTTACAGCAGGTGCAACTACCGCAGCGACCCCCGTTTTGTGCATGAGGAAACCGAGGCTCAAAAAGGGCCCAGGCTCAGCTGGCCCTAGTGTCCACAGCGCTTGTCATTTATGGGGCCCTAAGCCCTACCCCCCTCCTGCTTCTGTGGATTAGCTCAGGGAAGACCTGCAGCCCCCTGGGCAGCCGTGCTGTTACTATCCCCCTTTATAACTGCATGTTGGGGGTCAGGGCTGGGTAGCTCTCTCCAGGCTGCCTGGCTTGGAAGTAGGTGAGCTGGATTTGAACTTGATTCTGGTAGAACCAGAGCCTGTGCCCTGGCCTGGTGGGGTCCCTTCCTCAGGGAGATGAGCTCTGGGATGTGGTCATCCGGGGGGGCCTCTATTGAGGAATGCGGAATGAGGAAGTTCCCTGAGCCACTGACTCCACTGTCCCACCTAGGAGTGTTTTCCTCTAGGGCGCTGGTGGAGAGGAGCCCAGATTCTGGTCCAGGATTCTGTGTGGATTTGAGCAGATGGGAGCTTCCACCATTGGGGTAGATCCTATCCCAACCATGTGTGCTCCACCCAAAGGGCACTGAAATGCACACATTGCGTCAGTCTGCAAACATGTGTTGGGTGCCTGCAGGGAGCTGGGCCTGGCTCTGGACATCAGGGACACAGCAGGGACTAAGTGGACCCAGACCTGCCCTCATGGAGTCACAGGCAATAAAGAAGCAATACAGATGGCAATGAATATTGGAAAGGAAAGAAAATGGGGTGATGCGGTGGAGGGGGACAGGGTGGGGGGTGAGATGGGACGGTCAGGGGAGGCCTGAGGCGAGACTTGAAGGAGGGAAGGAGGCAGAAGATCTGGAGGACTTGATCCAAGCAGAGGGCACAGCACGTACAAAGGCCCTGGGGCAGGAATGAACTTGGGGTGTTAGAGGGAGATCCAGGTGGTTGGTGAAGGTAGAGGGGGACATGCAGGGAGATGAGGGCAGGGAGATCAGAGAGACTGGAGCATGTGGGGCCTTGTGCCCTGCAGTGAGAACTTTGGGTTTTACCCTGCCTGGGAGGGTTGTGAGTGAGGTGTGAGGTGATCTGACTTAGGTTTGGAATAACCCCCCTCTGGCCATTGTGCCAAAAAGCAGGGAAGACAGGGAAGTGTCAGGGAGACCAGGAAGGAGGCCACTTCCATTGAACTGGTAGGAGGTGAGCGAGATGGAAGTCCCCCACTTCCTCCTCAGTGTCAGCTGTTGGGGTCACTCTGTCTACCATCATTAGCAGCAACTTCAGCTTCCCCATTTCTCAAATAAGCATATGGTCCATAAAATAGGGGAAGTCGGGTGTCTAACAAGTATCTGTACATAGTAACTGCTGTGTGAGTGCTGGATGTTCGAATGGACTGAGTATATGGATGGGTGATGGGGGAGGGGGAGGGGGTGGTGAATGGATAGTTAGATGGGTGGGGGATGGATGGATGGGGGATGGCGAATGGGAGATGAATGGATTTGATGGACGGATGGATGGATGGATGGTGGCTGTGAATGAATGAATGGGTGGATTAATAGGGCATGGGTGAATGGCTGTACGGCAGGTGATGATTGAATATTCGATGGAGATGGATGGTAAATGGATGGTGGGTATCCACCTGGAAGGATGCATGGGTGGATGGATGGATGCATAAATTGATAATACATGGATGAAAAGTGGATGGCTGGTTGAGTGGATGGATGCATAAGTGGATTGATAGATGGTTGAATGGTTGGATTGATAAGTGGATTGACAGATGGACAGATGGATAGATGGATAGATGGATGATGGATGAATGGTAGATGGGTGGTTGAATAGATGGATGGATGCATGCATAGATGGACAAGTGGATGGGCAGATGGGTGGATGCACGCATGCATGGAGCACAGAAGATGGATATCAGATGGGTGAACAGTGGATGTCCAAATGGATGGATGGATGGATGGTGGATGGATGAATGGGTGGCGCATAAACGAATGGATGGACGGATGATGGTTGGGTCCTTACATAGACCTTGGGTCTGCAAAAGCTGGACCCTTATCTCATTTAGCCTACTCTCCCTTCTCACTGGCCTCTCCCACCAGCTCCACATTCTGACCGTTTTTCCCCTGCTCCCATCCATCCCAGGTCTGACTGGTTTCTCTATGACTGCCGCCTTCTCAGACACGTGGCCCTTGGGCTCTTCTGCTGTGGGGTCTCCGTCTACTTAGCAGGTGTGTGCTAGGGGATAGAATGTGGGGTTTAGGACCCTGGGTTGGGGTGGACAGTGATAACAGTGCCCTAATTGGGGGGTTAGCTCCAGAGCCATCCTGCCTGGGTTCAATTCTGCACTTGATCTTAGCCAAAAGGCCAAGAAGCGATCTGAGTTCAACTCTGGGCTCTGATACTTTCTCGATCTGGGGCCTTGGGCAAATTCCCACTGTGCCTCAGTTTCCTCAACTGTACAATGGGAATAACAACTGTCCATTCCTCACAGAATTACTTAGGGGATTCTAAGTCAATCCCTGTAAAAGCCCATAGATGGATCTGACTCCAGCAGGGGCTACACAAATATTAGTTATCCTCAGAACACATCCAACATGTCAGTTTTGCATATGTTTGGTTTGAACCTGGGTTCAACCATGGCTTGGTGGTTTCTTTTTTTTTTTCCTTTTTGTCTTTTTTCGTGACCGGCAACGGATCGCAACCCTCAGTGTCGCACCTGTACCGGACCGGCAACAGAATCGCAACCCTCGGCGTTGCTCCCGCACCTCGCTCAGCCAGTGAGCGGCCGGTCTGTATGTGGGATCCGAACCCTCGGCGGGAGCGCCACCGCGCTCTCAAGCGGCGCACTGTAGCAGTGCGCCACCGGGCTGGCCCTTGGTGGTTTCTAAAGATAGTGTCATGGGCTGGCCAGTTAGCTCAGTCGGTTAGAGCATGGTATTGTGAACACCAAGGTCAAGGTTTCAGATCCCCATACAGGTCAGCCAACAAAATAAACAAACAAAAACAAAATAAAGATAGCTTCTTACAGGTTGATATAAGTAAAAGCTGTTTTGTTACAAATACCAGAACCTCCAGCTCAAAAATGGCTTAAATATATATATGTATATACACACACATACTATACACACACACAATGTGTATATATATATATGTATATACACACTTTATAAACCAGAAATACAATTTTATATCCCAAACCTTGAGGCAGCATGAATAATAATCCCCCAGATGCCAGAAAAACACACACACAGTTTTTCCCTGACTTGCTAAACTTTTCTTAGATCAACTTTCTCTCATCCATGCTCGAAAAGAGATTCCTGCCGTCTTATATGTGTATATCTATCTAGAGATAGAGAGATATAGATAGATATTCGGCGGCTTGCCAGTACAGGTATGCGAACTCTTGACCTGGATGTCATCAGCACCACACTCTAATCAACTGAGCTGACCAACCAGCCCTACATTTTGTTTTAATCTTGAAAAACATGTGTTGCTAATGCTGTAGATTCAGCGCTGAATCAGGCACAGCCCTATAAACAACTTGTTTTACCAGAAGGAAAGATATTCAGCTGAATGAAAACCAAGGGATTTGCTATTACTATTTTTTTCTTGGTCCCACAATAGAGAAATAGAAGTTAAAATACGCATTTACGAGACATGAGCCTAAGGGTCACTGTGGGGATTTGTATATAGAGCTCAGAGAACTCTGCATAACTTTTGTTGTTTGATTTAACAAAATGTGCCAGATGTGAGTTTTTTAAAAAGGAAGGTGGGTGGAACGATTTGTGTATATGACACTATCAGGGGTCATCGGCCTCCGGTGTGGCTGGGTCCAGGTGCTCAAGTGAGATTTTCGGGAATCTCTCTCACTTCACCTCTTCATCTGCTGTGCCTGGAGTCAGTTTTTCTCTGAGATGCCTCTATCTGCAAAGCACCTTTCACACAATGCCTTAGAACCTCAAAACTTTTCACGGGATAAGGAAAATGTTGACGACCTAGCTTCCAGCGGTGGCTCGGTCATTGCCGGGCTGGGTGCAGATGCAAGGAGGGTGTGGCTAAAGCCCTAGCCCCTCACCATCCCAGCTCTGGAGCCTGGGGCACTGCTTGTGGCAGCTTGGTAGTATTCGCTGGGTTGGTTGCGCATGTTGGTGAGGCATGGCTGAGGCCCTCAGCCCCCCACCGCCCCGGGGTGCTTCCTGCAGCGGCTCGGAGGTCATGGCTGGACTGATTGCATGTGTCGGGGGCATAGCCAAGGTCTGAGGCCGCCACCCTTGGGACTGGTTGTGGGTGTCAGGGCGGCATGGCTGAGGCCCCCAGCCCTCCCCCTTCTCTGGCTTGGTAGCCCAGAAGACTTCCAGTCCTTCTAGGTGTTACAGTTGTTCTTTGGTGATGTGATACCTT